TCGATCATTGGTATCCACAGGGAAGTAAACTCAAAAAAGCGTTGAGGTCATTAGATGCACGTGTAAATGCTGTGTACAAATGACGTCATTTCTAAGGTATCACCCTTAACAGTGTGCATGTTATAAAGTGCCAAAATAATGATACATTATACAGGTCGAATAAAACAAATGATTGTTATGTTAATTTTCACTTTATGCTTACCTGATTTACAATTAAAACCATTTCAATCCCTTAACAGATATCAATTAGGAGTTTGAGCTTGGTATGTAGGTTAAATGTGATATGATATTATTTAAAGTTTGAATAGTTATTGATTATTATTTGTTCACCACTTTCATAGAGCCTGGCATTGACAATTAATTCATATAACTAGAAAAATAGAAATAATATCATTCCTACTATATATATAATTTCTAAATCAGTGAAATTGGATTAATAGGTTCAATAACATGCACCTGACAAACACCTGTCTTCAAATATGATAGACGAATAAACCCGCTGATAACAACCAATACATTATCAAACAATTGGTTTCAGAAAACCATTGTTTATTTCAGAGTTTGGATTGGGTCTTCCAATATCTGTGTAACAGAGTTGTTAAATTTGTTCACAGAAGCATTATATCTGTAAAATAAGTTTAGTATGTTAGGGCAAGTCGTGTTGTCGACAAAACATAGTTATTAGTATCAGAGTTAGATAGAAGAGATACGGTGTTTGTTGCATCAGTGACAATTTTCACTCCATACGCCGGCGGTGGAACTATGATGAAATTGTTTTCGCGTATCTGTTAATTGACTTAATTAGCTGATTATTAGTGAATGGCTGTGTTACGTCTCTCATCGTTTAGGCAGGCGAGGTCCTGGACGAACTCGACTCAGTGATTTGGAACTAATTACGAGATAACTGTCGCTATTCGGACTACTATTTCTGACAGTTGGTATTCGTAGTTATTAGTCCCCGTTCAGGCGCAGTCTGAAAAGGGGACTGTATAATTCAGGTTTTGTCCGTTTTCTGTCTCCAACATTTTCTCAGAAATTCTACAGCAGGTATCAGTGAAATTTGGCAGGTTGATGAACAAGTGTCTTCCGAGTATGCAGATCTGAAAATCCCAAGTGGGTTTTTTCACGATTTTTATCAAAAATTACCTCTCCCGGCAACATTGACAGAACGTCTGCGCATGCTCAGAATAAATTAATTACTGTAAAATACTTAATTTTTG